CCTCCATGACGGCCATGGCATCGAATAATTATGGGCTCTCTATTTTAAATGAACAATTACAACAAAACAAGATGTTTTTGCAGGTATTGCATGTGTGCGAACAAATCTCAATCACGCATTCTATATTACTGTGAGATTCGGGACGGCATATGCCACCTGATTTTAATTATTAAAGAGCTCTATGCGTAATTATGTTTTTATTATAAGTATTAAGGTGATAATTGTAATAATTATGTTGTCATGTACAATACATTCTTTTTTTCATGCAGATATAGTGGCTACACGTGAACAAGTCTTATCATTATTCCATCCTTCACGTCTATAACATTTAGAGAATCTTTTCGAAATCATCTTGCTCGCAGTTATGATCAATATCTATATTTGTGAGGATTGAAAGGCATTGGTATGTTAATTGTTCGGGCAAATAACGATTAGAGATGTGAAAAATCCTCGGTTAAAACAATTTCAATCTTGGTTAAGTATTTCATTTACGTTTTTCTAACAAGCAATTAAACGGCCAATGACCATATATAGCCCCTCCCGTTATTTTGATAATTATCATTAATGAATTAAATTCATGCGCATCCTGATTAATTAGAGGATTTAACCTTAATGAATTTTTTAAATTATTATAGCGTGAACATCGGGTAGGGAGAAAAAACGCGCAACTCTAGCTGACTCTCGTTACAAAGCCCATACCAGGAGAGATGGCGAGATCGAGCCCGCGTTATATACACCGGGCCAGCGTGTAAGCAGGCAGAGATGAACTAATTCTACGCACACCGTATACGATAATTAACTAATTTCCTAGACGAAGAATACGATCGGCCATACAGTCTGATTATAGAAAAAATCATTTTTATTCATTTCTAATTTACAACGAAGCGCAGTGACAACAATGTATATATATATAATTATGGTTACAGATATAATTACAGTAAATATCGCACAAATGCGTGCATCCACGACATGATTTCAAAGAAACGTTATCAACAAACAAAGCAACAGTATGTTATATTAATAGTTATTTTCAAGCACGTCGGCAGGCCCCGTAAAGTATAAAAATCCAGCTGGCGTATCGGCAGGTTCACGATAGATGGCGCAATCATCGATTCTTACATTCGCATCCGCGTCACGGGTGCACGACGTAATCTCGACGATGCTCTCTTGTCGCGGCCAGACGGTGGATTGTTAGACTTCAAACAAATATTCGTTACGTTCACTATTTCATAAAATCATTATTACAATATATGTATATGTCACACGATATTTTATACGAAAATATCTCAACTATCTCGACAGTCATTCGTAAAGTGCGAATTTTCACATGACAGACAGGCAATCGCCACTAAAAGCACAATTATACGTGAGTAAAGATGCACGACTGTCAACTCACTCGCGCACCATAGACATCTACGCATATAGACAGATATGTGCCCTTATAGGGCCAAATGGGGTGATATTACAGAATTCTATTCATAATATTTTCATTTTGTACAATGCTGCCGCAGTTTATGATATGTTTTACTACGTACCGGATGTATATATATATATATATATATATACTTTACAACTTGTGAAATTCTAGCTTTTGTTTATTCTGATAGCAGGGAAATTGGTCGTAATTAGCAGCTTTCGTGGAGACAGGGGTCGGGATTAACGTACGTTAAGTTCGCGTTTGTTAACCTCAACGAAGCTAAACGCGCATGCGCGCCATTAGTTCACACGTAAACGCTCATCGCTCTGTAACAACGCGCGCGCATGCTTACGCCAAATTAACGTCGCGCGACTCCTTATTATATACCGGACCTACTTTTCCTTCTTGGTTGTCGCATTCACTACCTATTCCGAGAATTTCATGCCAAGCTTAGTCAATTAACGACCGTAACGCATGCGCGTAACTTATTTTTTCAACCAGCATATTTCCGCTAGTTTTTTTGCAGTCAACGCGTGGAATATGAAAGGCTATCCCCCCTCTATCCCACTCCCTCTTTTTTCCGAACGACTCTGTGTAATTGTCCGGCTTATTATCGAGAGTAAATTCGCCATAGATATTCGCTGCAGCGACTTTGTCTGTTTAATAGCATCGCTACGTCATCCATCATACACGTGACACAGCTATACCGCTTTACCGCATGCTGTAAGCAAAGCCGAAGTGATCAATCCACCTGTGTGTATATATTACTGCAGGGCCACGCCGTGCATCGGACGCAGCTAACGTGATGCAGTGTGCCCTGACTTTGCTTCGTGCGTAGACGTGTTATACAAAAGCATAGAAGTCTACACCAGTGATTTCAAATGATGCACGTCTTTCACACATTTCAGCTTTCAGCTCATTCATTCTAATAAGCTCATAATGTTGTATACAACGCGCCCGGCCTCATCTCTTTCTCTTTCTTTCTTTCTCTCTCTCTCTCTCTCTCTCTCTCTCTCGCTCTCTCTGTGTCTCTCTCTTTCTCTCTCTCGCCCTCTCTCTCTCTCTCTCTCTCTCTCTCTCTCTCTCTCTCTCTCTCTCTCGCCCTC